CAATACACCCTCTTCCTGGTCTAAAGCCTGCCTGGCTCTCTCGTGTTTGTGCTTCCCGAGCACCACTCAGTCTACGCATGATTATTGAGCCTAAGACTTTAGATACTATATTAGTCAAGCTAATCCCTCTGTGATTATCACAGGAAGACTTGTCTCCCTTCTTGTATATGGGGATAATCAGTGACTTACACCAACCCGATGGGACTTCTTCTGATTCCCAGACGCTGCCTAGTACCTCAGTTAATCCGGACAGTAAGCTGTCTCCACCGTACTTAAATACCTCTGGAGTCATTCCATCAGGTCCCGCTGCTTTGCCTAGTTTCAGATTGGTGACAGCTTTAGTAACCTCAGTTAGTGACGGAGGACCTGTATCTATATCCCATTCAGGGAGGTGTTGGATGCTCGGAAGGTTGAGCGTGGCTGTGGGCAAATTAAACTGCTCCTCATAATGCTCTTTCCAACGATCCAGTCGTCTATCCTGTGAGCTAATTATAGTGCCATTTTTTTCCGAGATTGTCTCACTAATGATTTGTCTTCTCCCACCCGTTTCCCTGATGAGTCCAAAGAGTTGCCTGGTGTTGCCTATCCTCGAAGCTTTCTCCATCTCTTTGGCTTTTGTCGCCCACCACTGTTCACGGTCCTTGCGGAGACTTTTCGTAAGTTTCCTCTTGTGCAGCTTTCGCTCCTCATTGAATTCGGAGCTCGCCGGAATAAGTCTTCTAGCATCTATCAGTTCGGATGAGGCGGTGGAGATCCAGTGGTTTTTACTCACCTTTGGGTTTACCTTATTCACAGCTTTTACAGCTGTATCTATGGCTGCCTGGATATTTTTCCAAGCTTCTTCAGGGTGAGCACAGCTGTCGAACACAGATATGTGTTTAGCTAGTTCTTCCTCAAATACGGATTTAGTTTCCTGATCGAGCTGGGGACGTGATGGTTTTACCGCCAGCTGTTTCCTACGTCCGTTCAGTCGTAAGCACACCCGAGCGCGGACCAGTGCATGGTCGGTATCTACGCACGTGTTCCAGAAGGAGCGACAATCTCCTACCGACCCACGCCAACGATAGCTTATTGCTATGTGGTCTATTTGTGTCCAGCGTTGGTTTGATGAAGGGGGTCTCCAAGTCAAACAGTGTCTCTCCTTGTGTTTGAAGTTAGTGCTTACAAGAAACAAATGATTATCAGAGCAGAACTGTAGGAGACGGTCACCGTTGTCGGTTCGCTGGCACGGAACTCCATAGGTGCCACCGACATCCTTCTCAGATTGACACAATTTCCCTACTTGAGCGTTAAAGTCACCAGCTAGAACGACTATGTCTGAGCGTTTAGCCTTTCTCACCAAACTAGACAGCTTTTGGTAGAACTCATCCTTCGTTTCATCTGAACTGCAGTCAGTGGGGGCGTAGGCGGAGATTACGAAAAGGCATCGGCGAGTAGTGCAGTCCTTCCTCCTTCTTACTGATCCGTTCAGGCGGACAGCACACATTCGGCTATCTACCGGGATCCAGTCAAGCAATGTCTTTTCTGCCCTAGTACTCAAAGCTATCCCTACGCCAGCTAATCCTCGTGAACTAGCTGTGGCATCTCCTGACACCCTCAAGGTGAATTTTGCAGATTCAACCTGTTGGCCAGGTGGGGTTAGGTGAATAACCACACTTGGGTCTTGTATGCGTGTTTCTGAAACACAGCATACATCAATGGCTCGTGATGCCAGGGTCTTGGCTAGTGATGCTTGTTGTCCTATTTGGCAAAGTGTCCTAACATTAAGAGCTCCTATATGAAATTGGTGGCGCGGCTTTAAGAGGCTGTCGGTGGTGGTTTTTTGGCTTCCATCGTTTTTAGTGGACGCAGAGTGGAGAGGAAGTGGAGAGCTATCAAGTCGAGGAGTTGCATCAGTGGAAGGAAGGCAAGATGATAGAGATGAAGATGAAGACAAAGATGAGTGAGTAATAGAGAGGTTTCGTGTGCATTTCGGATTGTGAGGGCGATTGTTACTTCCCGGCTGCCCACACCGTGGAAGTTGGTTGCGTGACCGCAGAGCCCAGGGGACAACTGCTTGAGGCCGGTCACACGCGGCCTGTTTTTGTTTGTTCTTTTTGTTTGGTGTGTCTCAGTAGCAGATTTATCACTCCCGCCCTGTGACACGGCAGCAGGAAGCGCGGTCGTTGTTAATCCGGGCCACGGCCGATCCGGCATGAAATTTTGTAATTTTGTATTGGACATGATGTTGGATTGGGTAGCTGCTTTTTGTTTAACCGCTATCCAAACAACCTGCCTGGCATGGTAGAACCTCAAGAGACATAAGTCTCAGCCAGTATAGCTTGATTAGGTCATTGCGGTGTTCAAGCCCGACCACCACGTCAAGGTAGCAGCTTTCGGTCGGGATATCCGCTAACAGGAATGTCATACTGCAAAATGGAATCTAGGTAACAACAGTTTTCTGATGAATTTTGTGCAGAAATATCTACATTCCCTTACAGGTGCCATTGGCTGACATCTAATAAGATCAGGACACAAAGTAGATATTCAGATTGCTTTTACCATTATTTAATTGGTGGATGATGACTGGCAGTGGAATCCAAGATACGCATTTCGTCCCATTTGGGACCCCTTATCTAGATGTACCTGCATTTCTCAGTGAATAATGATGTTCCTACCGAGACTCGAACCAAGTGCCCATATATGGGCACTATAGTTTCAAACGCCAAAGCGTTATCCACTAGACCACTTGGGCCACGAGAGCCACATCTTGTGCAACGGGTCATATTAATTTAATTTAATTTTTTTAGATTTTCCCGTGGATTGATTGGACTGAAGTGCTTGGTCTCAGCTTCTTTTGCAGATGCTTCGAAGCATCTAAAAATTCAATTAAATGCTTTTACCATTGTTAACAAAGATAGAAACACAACCTTGCTACGATTTCACGAACCTATTGCCATCAATCAACTAAAATAAAAAGAAACAGTGATTAATCTTACTTTACCTTGATGACAATTATTTTCACTTATCCCATAATTACGAATTTTGATTTTTGATTGTTGACCGCTCTCATTATTATTGTTACTATGGTGTTTTGTAAAAAACTTACCTCGATTCACACAAATTATCTCTAATCACTTCCAAATGTTTACTCGTATAGTATTGCATAATCATTTTTTTCCTGTGTTGCTGCTCCATTAGCGTTTTATGTTATTACGTCAACTAACAAAACTTCTAGAAAATGCTTCCAAACTTATGATAAATGACCACATTCTCTCCCGTGTTATTTTTTAACTAATTATGCTATCAGAGCCTCCCCATTGTCGCCTACCTAAACTACAAGCTTCATGCCAAACTTATGCAAACAGAATAAAAATATGTATAACTTTATTTTGTTAACACTATATATATATATATACACCTTAGATTATCTTCAGTTGAATAAAATTCTCACATTTTGTCCTTCTTGCCTTGACAGAGATGATCAAGGGGAGGCTCTCTATCAGTATAAATGAGGAGGATATGTCAAGAAAATAAATCGACGGGTTAAGAGCATAAACTCTTGGAATTATCTGATATCAAAACTTGTCCTACTTCATAAAGCAAGCTGTCTCGTTTAGTAAAACTCCTAATTTTATCCAGGTAAAACTATATTTAAAGATTCAAATGAACTTTTGACGGTAGCAGTTTGTTAAGCACAGCAACGCCATGTCATTTAGTTGGAATGGGATGAAAAAAATAACTACCCAGTTCTTCCTAAACAACTCCACCTGACTTCGAGATTGTTCACATTGGGAACCGCTGAAAGCTAGGGAATACTGTACAAATATCTCGTCCTGATTTGGAATCCTTAACATTTTGTACCCATGACCCCAATATGAATCGAACCCAGGACCTTCTGGTTCCAAGACGAACTCGCTGGTCATTAAGTCACTGGGATGGAATCCAATGACCAGCCCATGAACTGCTATAACTGTCTATTCATGATATATAGGGCGACCAACAGCTAATGTCATCAGCGAGTATCTACCCTCCCTCCCAACTTCGTGGACCCTGCTGCTCACGACTCCTCACCAGAATTTCAGCCAACTTCAACCTGATGTCAGTCATTAGTGATCACCAGATTAATTTTCAAATGTTGGTTTGTTCACCTTGTAACCTGAAGGTCCTGGGTTCAGCCTCTAGTAAGGCCACTGGCATTTACTGGTGAAAAATCTCCAACTGGGACGAGACATCAATCCGCTACTCCCAGTTTATAGTGGTTCCCATAGTGAAGCCAGTTGGTGATCAATCTTAAATTAAATGGAATCTCCCCAGACCAATATCTGAAAATCTAGGTTGAATAATGAGTAAAAATATTTACGATTTATAATAACTTTCTGCTTTCTGAACCGACCCTACTTTCATTAGGGCGCACTCACCACCAGCGTTGGAACCCAGGACCTCCTAGTCACTAGGCGAGCTCGTAGACCATTTGATGAGATTCCAGTGGCTAAATTATTTACGAGCTAGCTCTCCTTGTAACCAGAAGGTCCTGATTTGACGAAGAATCCCAAACTAATGAGACGAAACAGCTTTCCAGTACTCTCTACTGGTTTTCCAATGGTTCTCTAACCAATGTCTGCTCATAATGAAATCCTCCAACCATTAATTCTATTTGTGTGAGTCTGGCTTTTGGTAGGCGATCTAATAATAGAAAACAGAGACAAATTTTGGTTATACACAGGAAACAAAATTAGTTAAGTTAAGCAAATGAAACTGAAATGATTTCAATATGATTTGTCTGCTCAGCTTTACAGTGTTTATCAGGCAATTATTGATTACAAGTTAATTCTTAAGCGTACATCTCTACTTCGAAATAGTTTATGACAATTGATAGTTGACGAAAGTGCATTTACCAGTCGATTATTACAATGTGACCTGAAAATAATTCATTTGATAAGCAGAGTAAAGCTAAACTATAAAAAATATATTTATAATTCTCACTTCAAAAGTTTATTCTGTTGAAAAACTTGCAAGATAAATTATTTAAAGTCACTATTCAATTAGTTCCCATCATTTTCAGAAATATTCTAAATCAATAAAGAATAATATCTGATAAGCTTATTATGAATTTATTACACTCCTTACTACTATTATTTTCTTTGATATTATCGGTATCGACACTGGTTAATCGAAGAGAAACTACATATTCAAGGAGTAACACTAATGAATCATTAGTTGCAAATCCACAGAGAAGAGATCATAGGCATCACTATAGACAAGATTCTCGAAATTATGATTTTTATCCTGAACATCACCATCACCAAACTTATCCTCATCCGCATCAGCACCATCGACACAGTGAAAGAGAAGACATAAATCCTCAAAGAAGATATGACAACCAACATATACATCATCATAGCCGTTCCCATGAACATCACGGATCTTCTCAATATGATCAGAATCCAACAGCTCAACAAGAAAAATTACAATATCAAGAAAGAACAAAAGAACACATTACATTAATAACTCCTCAAGATAAAATTCATGAGCGACTTGTGAGTGACCACTATAAATTAGAAAATATAGAAACTCATCTAGCAGAATCTTCCCCTTCAACACAGTCTTCTACTTCAACAACTCAGACTGTTAAGGAGCAAGGAACAGAGACTCCGAAACCAAATGAAGTCGACTCAACAAACACAAACCAGCCACACAGTCAAAATTTGCATGTAGATTCTTCTAAAGAAAAAACTGATGACAATTCAGCTGTACATAAAGTTATACCATCCGAAGATCATCAGCATCATCATCACCATCATCATGATCATGATCACGAACATAAAGATCACGACAGCACTGATAAAAAGAAGAAGAGCAGTACAGTAAAGCCTACTGACAAAAATACTAAAGAACTCCAGGAGAATGCAGATACGAAAACCAAAGAAAAACACACTACTCAAGCTACACCCATTGCAGCAGCAAGTAAAACTGTTGGAGGTCACTATTCAAATGTCTTAAAAACAAAAGTGAGTTGACCATATTTCAGAGTTAAAGTTATTTGCCTTTTCGCTGTTTTAACATTCTGTTTTGCCTTCAGCTGGCTTATTCCACTCTATGTGAGTGGTATTAACATTTAACGTATATTTTCAAGCATTAAGACGCTTTTCATCAACATAGTTAAATATAAAGTAACCTCGATTAATTCATTGTGAAAAGGATAAAGTTTTGATTGCCTGACATCTGTTTGCTTTCATTCCTAAGTAAAATTCTGGTTTATAAGTCTTGGGTTCATCATCAGTGTTATAGATTAGAGTGAATATTACTCACCATTATATCTGACTACTTAGTTGTGATAACTTTTAAGTGAATAGCGGTGTATCATGCAGCCAATAACTCTTAAGCAGGCCTGTTTGTTTTCATAAATAAATACATCGATTATGTCATCAAAATAAGTTGCTTGGGTGTTTGTTTACTGGTTAAGTATATTTTAAGTTTGATCACTGTCAACCCTCGAAGACTTAATATATGATGAGAGAAATGACTGTTATTACTCTGAAATCAGCAGATAACATTCAAATGTATATCACAGTGGTAAATATTATACCGTGTCTTTGACATGTTAATATTCTTGGTGAAGTTAAACTATAGCAGCTACCCCGATATAAGTCCTTGGAAGGTCAACTAGAGTTATAGGTGGTATAACCAAATCAAATGATGTCTTCACTTCGGAATTCGCTTAACGAGCTCCAGGAAGATCGAATATTTCATGACTGTGTATACAGTGGATTAACTGGAGCCACTAGAACATCTATATGTGGGGAAGCTTGACAGGAAAACTGTTCTTCTAGGATGGGATAGAACAGGGAAGTCATTTAGAAATATAGGCTGGCTTAAGGATACCATGAACAACAGTCATATTTTTAACAATTCTGCGACTTTTATTGCTCTTTAGTTCTGATTAGTTGTATGTGACCTTTGGTAATATCTGCATGGTAGTTGCTATAGTTTAACTTCATTACATTTTAACATTTTTATTACTGTCCAAGCATTGAACGCCGTTGATAGGGCTTTCGTTTTTAATTTAAAACTCCTTTTCATTGATACTTCAACAAATTTGTCAGTTAAAGCTTCCCACTCAAACACTGCAATCACTTGTGTAGGTGTTTATGTCCTTCAGGAACATCCATCGTTAAAATTTTTGTGGACTTTCATAAAAAGCATAGGGATTTGTAGCAAAACTACTAGTTTTCACCTTTCTCAGCTATTTGGTTAATCCCCGTCTTCCCATAACTTCTCTTTGATGTACTGTTTCTTCTTGAAACGACCTATTTTGTATCGAAACACTCATCCCAGAAAGCTTAGACTACGACTTACATAAATTTAGACAAAACAATAAGAAGACGTAATTTATCTGAATCATGTAATGTATTTGCGCAACACATTTCAAATAATCTGATCACATACGGACTTGTCATAGGAATATATATGAAATTAATAAAGAGTTAAGAGGTGAAAAAATAAATTTAGGTCAAGTTAAAAGGACATACTGAAGGTCAAAATAACAATGAAGATCACTGAACCAAATAACAGAGGTAAAAGTACATCTGCTATGGTATCAAAACAAAGTTTACCAAAGAAGATATAGTGTGATGACGAGTTGTTTTGGAGCGTACAAAGGTGGCTTTAACTTTGTAATTGCTATGGCTTCCACAAACTTTAGGGTGCGCCCCAAGCACGTTTTATAGATAAGTTTAAAAGATGAGCTAACATCAATTTTATGTTCTGTCTCTATAATATGTTTCACAATAGAGGAGCTAGGTCTCCTGTTCTCATCATTAATGCGTTTTGGGGATTCTATTTGCCTCTGAAGTCATTTAGGAATATGATCTGGAACCCTTACTTGCAGAGACCGATGAGTCCTCCCTATGGATATGTGTCTACACGTATATTCAAACTGGTAAATACATTGGGATGTGACATTTTTCGCATGTTCAAACGGCTTAGATGGATATATTGACTTCAAATCCTCAGTTACCAACATGTTTGCTGCATAAAAAGTCTTTTTAACAACAGCGTTCAATCCTTATCTAGTTGTAAAGCTACTATGATACCCCATATAGGGTAACTTGATTTACACGCCCTTCTCAGTGGCGAGTTGGAGAATGGGTCTTGGTGTTCTGACTACCTTAAATCTGCTGATTAACTCGTCTGGATAATTATTATCAAACAGAGTTTGTGTCAACTTTCTTCCTCATCAAGTGTATCTTCGATGCATATTCGTTGGATTCTACCGAAAAGGCACCTTACTAAAGCTCTTATATAAAGACAATTTCTACACATTTAGAAGAGAATAAATAACTAATTTAGGCGTAAATTAATTCATTGATGAATTCATTTCTACCAACCATATTTAAAAGCAGAAAATCCCATGCAATTGTAGTGAATCATTTTCAGTATATATATATATATGCCCGAGAGATGGATAAATTATCACCTTGAGAGCTATAGTAACCGACAGATGATTCAATTTCCAAAGCCGAATTTTTGCAGATTCGCTTTACGGGAAACCGAATAAGCTACACTTAAACATTAAATATAAGAATAAAAGCAGAGAGTTTGCTTTTTGTGGAACGATTGACAAGTTTTCCGAGTCCTTATGGAGTAATTCGAGTTAGGAGAGGTTATAGTTTCTCAAATAATGCACTTGGTGTTTTCTAACTTAAGTCAACTTTTGTGCAGGTGGTATCCGGAGCTCTGCAAAGAGTATTCGTAAGTATATACTAATACACAGTTCAGGGAAATGACCACTGCAGATAGTCATTTAGTCAGCCAATAATCAGTTCAGAAAATGGAACATCATTGAACACACCTAGATCACTAGTATTTATTAACAGCTTTGTACAGTGTGGTGTTAGCTCAGGGTAAAACGCCCGCCAGCCACACTTAAGGTCTATATTCGATTCCCGGCCAATGCATCCTTAAACCTCACGTAGATGGTAGTAAGCTCGAGGAACAGGGAAGGTGAGACGTGGACCTGCAACCTCACTCAGCAAAAACACAAGTGCTACTGAAACTTCAAAGCTCAAAGACTTCTATTTCTTGTGGAATGCGAAAGAATGGTAAAAACAACTTTGTACAAGCTTCACAAAGTCAAACGTTTACTTCCGATCGAGTATTATTGTCATAAAAGTGAAAATAATCCATTTGAAATTCTTCTTCTTCACTTATTTAAATATAGCACAACTTGTCTGGGAACTATGCTGGTTGTCGAAAAATGAAACCAGAACTTATCATCATATTTCATATCTTTTTCTAGTTTGATCTAATGATGACTTCTATTCAGTCATCTGGTAATTTTTACTGACTGTGTAATAAGTTATATTGCACCCACAGTGGCGTTTTCTTGAACCAATAAGTGAGAGAACGGAATTTCATCTCGATTACTGTAATTTTTGAGAAGCTGCCACAAAACAGCGTCCACCACAGTAAACTTTGATTTTACTTATAATTTACGCTTCATTGTTGTTCTCTGGGTGAATATGCTTTAGGCGTTGATCGGAGACTTTTGCTTTGACTACTGCATCAGATATATGCTGAAGTGGCTCTTTTTGAATATTCCCAATCCTTGAGATAAAAATTACAGTCTCTCATAGCAGTCTTGAGTGTTTAATCCTGATTTTTTCACTGCACTGAGGATAGTTTTGGAGAATGCATCTGTATTTACGTAGACATTACCATCAATGAACCACTGCTTAAGGAGAAAAAATACCTAATCCGCACCTTAAACCAGAATACATCTCACTCTAGTACACCCAAGTTTAAAGCATTCTCTATTATTTCCCTATGTTTCCCATCTATCGAATGCCTGAAAAAAACTGAGCAGCAGTCATATGGAAACAGTAGGCAAGGTTAAAAATAAACGTAAACCATTGCAAAAATCCCAAATTTGAATAATGACACTCCAAGATTAAAAAGTGCCAATAAGAATGAGACAACAAGTTTATATATGTCACATGCTCTAGTAAATACTGCAGTCAAACGGAAGAGATCTTCATATGTTACTAAGGCATGTATTTTTGGGCACATAATGTACTAAAGGCTGTAGAATATTAATCAGAAGTGATGAAGACATTCAACATTTCTTTAAAACGTATAGCGCAGTATGTAGCAGATCTCTTAAAATCTTTTTCTTGTGAATAAGCGGTTGATTGTTAGTAATGCTTAAAGAAGCCCAACAAAGTAATGCTGAAGTGCAATGAATTCCAGTAAAAAAAAATTCGCAATTTACAACTCAATCCATTTGATGATCACTGCTACATCCGGTAATTTTGGCAGTTTTTAAATATCTCATACCGGGAAGCTTTTACAGTCCAATAGCTTCTGATCTAAGGAGAAAATAATGGGAAAGTCCCTTCCATCTTCAAAATGAAACGAAACCTGGATGTGAATTAAGAGACCTAAAAGTCTATTGAGAACATTAATTATGCTGACACGGAAGAGACAACAATCTTGTATGATATCAATTACACAACATCTTTCTTCTTTCCCTAACTTTCTAAGTTTGTAACCAACTATGTTTACAAAATTTAGATTTATAATCAATTCACCTCTTCTGTGTGTATCAACTAATTTGATTGCTCCTGTGGAGCCTGTTACATAGGCCGTACAATTAGGCGTGTTACTCGTCAGATTCTCAAACATCACCCTGCGTGACTAATTAAAGGACAAACAAAACCCATTCATAGCTCTATTCTATCTCATTTTATGCAGACAGAACACATGATTGATGTCACTGAGGCTTTCAAAGTCACCTACCTCATACCATCATATCTCAACTTCACCTTAAGAGATCGTCTACTACATATTGCCGGGGCCATTGAGATCCACATTGAGAAACCTAAACTATGTACTCAAAAGAAGCTGGTTCAGACACTCTTCTTACCTTGGCCATCAGGGTTCTGATGATCCTCATTTTAAAGTGGAAATTTTCTTAGTTTTATTTCATACTTTATTTGCTATTATGTTTTTATGCTTATTATAATTTATACATCTTTAGTGAACTGTAGTTCCATTGATCTTACTTTTCTTTATACCTTTACATTCCAAGTGAAACATAGGGCTTTAAGCTAGAAGCTTGAAGTTTCGGTAGGAGTGGTGTTTATTTTTACGGGATGGGGTTACTAGCCCCATGCCCAACTTTCCCTCTTTACCAGTCTTATTACTAGTTTAGTGAGGTAAAGGAGTGCATCGGTCGGGGATGGAACCCCTGACCACATGGAGGGTTGGCAAGCATTCTACCGCTGTGCTACCGACGCACTGATCTTACTTAACAAATCGATATTATTTAAAAAACACCAATATTACTAATGACGGCCATTCTAGAATACTCCATGTATGTAAACCTATATTTAATTGTAGAGCCAGAAGAGGAAATTATCAAAAAGGATATTCTTTGCTCAATTTTTTGTTTTCCCCAAATTTATTTTTTATTTGCTTGTTCACTTAATTGCCCATGATATATTTTTGTATTATCAGTTTAATTATTCCGTTTTCTTTTCAGACACTAAGTCCCCTACATATTTATTTACCGTGTAAGCTCTTAACGTAGGATGAGAAAATCAATTGGTGACATAATGAGCTCCTCTATTTATTCAGACTTATCTGAGTTTATTTTATTTTAATAACTTAATACATTTATTCCCTTTTGTGAATTTAAACAAATGTTTGTACAGAATAATATGAGGCCATCATTTCATTCGTCGGATTCTCTTCAGCTGCTTACAACCAAAAAAGTTGACTGTGTAAATGTACATAGAGTTTTGTCATACTTGCAAGGCTCAAAGTAATTTCTTAACTGATATGCATGTTAGCAAAAATCATGTTGAGCCTTGCAAGTATGACAAAATTCTGTGTACATTTACACAATCAACTTTTTGGTTGTAAGCAGCTGAAGAAAATCCGACGAATGAAATGATGGCCTCACATTATTTTAATAAGTTTAATTTTTACTCTGACTTAAGATCAGCTAACTGCAATAATTAACCATCAACATATTTTTATTAAGAAAACCAAGTTTCTATTTTGTAATTCACTGAGTAAAATCAAATAATCGAACATAATTAACTGGTACTATTATATTTTCTAATTCTTCAACATATTCTGAATTGTAAACATTTGTGTTCACAATATGACTGACTCAATTTGAACATAGAACTTTGCACAGAAGTTCATCAGTCCAAGTTGCCACATTCCAAGTAGCGCACAAACGTAGACAAAGTGGGGGAACGTGATTCACAAAACTGTAACGGGGAGTAATGTGCAATAGAAAACATAGTGGTATGGAAAAACATGAGGGTTTAGTGGATATGAGAGTGAATGCACCTGAGCCATTGAGAAAACTTTGAGCCATATCACTTATAATCTCAAGACATTCATTCTTAGCATTTTGAAAACTCCAACCAGTCAGTTTACTCCTCGCTATACGGCTTAAACTAACTGTTAAAGACTTCATAGACTAATGCCAAGTTTCGATTAAACTACCCCTAACTCTCTTTTAACCTAATCCTACGTCAGCTGACACTTTACACTAAAGAAGACGACGACTGAGCATGCGCACTACATGTCCTACCCAACTCAAAAGCATAATTACATAAAAACCTTAAAGATTTGTGGAAACTGGAACTATCTAGCGACTGCGATTCTAAAAAAAAATAGGATGTGTTTTGCTTAAAATTAGTTTATTTTTTCATGAATCAGTGTTTTTGTTTTGATAGATTTATGCCTTAACTTCAAAGTGCTTTCTAACGCATTATTTTTCGCCTATTAAAAATGTCTTTCCCAGAGAAAAATACTGTTTAGCCTAAATTATAAGCAAAACATAACTGATAGTGTTATTATGCAATTTTATATGGAGTGCAGTGCATTTCGTGACAATAATACAATTCATTGATTTAAGTTATTTCAACTAAGTACACAATTAATAAGTGCAAATGTGTTAATAGTTAAACTTTGTTCTAAATAAATGACAAGAACTAATTGATGTTTATTTCTGTTTGTTTCAATCAATTACTGATTAAATTACTATGATGGTTACGATCTAATAACTACTCAAACTGTAACTCTGTGAGCTGTAAGTCTTATATACTTTGTTAGGAGTAAATGGCAGCGGTCGATATTTCAAACATAGACGAATCGAGTCAGTTTACACTAAGAGCTAACAATTTAACCACAGGTCTTGTAGTAGTTACTGTTGGCTACTGTCTTCTAACAATATCAGATGTATATTGTGTATTTTTAACTTTAGAACCAGGAGACAAACAAATTTATCAGATGACATACATAACTGTTTGTTTCTAGGTATTATTACCACCAAGGTAATCTGACCGATGAAGTCTTACAACAAGACTATATTCTTGACACATTGTCAGCAGTTTTAAATTTGAAAATTTCTCTTTCACTGAATGTCATTACCTTATACATTATTGGTAAGTCAGTTCATTCATTACTCAGAAGTACTTCTCAGTAAGCTAAAATGTTTTCTACATATCAATCTAAATCAAGCGAAATTTTCTACAAAGTACATTTGAAAGATGTACACGGTTACCGTATTCTCCAAAACATTTCATATTTACGGATAGTAACACTTCTTGAAATTGAAACGATATTACCTGTATCTCTTCCTCTCTCTAATTCAAAATTAAAAGTTTAGGAAAGTAACACTAAAGTTTATACCTCTATAACAATGTTAGACGCGTACCTTAACGTATAAACCTAGTGAAATTTAGTCTGTAATATTGAAACAAAATTGTTATGGTATGTTCTAACCTTAATTATAACAAAGTAGTGCACCTTGAATGTTTGAGTTTTTATTTTAACGCATTCATTCGCTATGGCGCCATGCCATCTTGTTATTTTACGGCGTGACTGTATACACGTGGTTCTCTTCCTTGCTGTGCTACCATTAAGCGTACTCTTATAGCTTACTACCCAGCCAGGTATCAAAATTGATATTTAATCTGCGTACAATACAACTCTCATCAAAACACACTTGTAACAAAAGAAGATAAGGGCCAGGCAACAGATCGTTTATTAAGGAAATCAACACGTATTTATACATTTTCGTGTACATTATTATAGATTATTTAAGCAAACAAACACAGTCTTCTGATTGGTTGTTTCTTTGTGACTGTTTCTTGAATGTCAGATCATCTATATGTTAACTGTATCCGCCTACGCTGTGGCTGTTTTTTGAATCAGTCTTTGTTCATATTTTCTCACGACCAATATTAGGGACATAAACATTGACGTAAATTACTGTCCACCAATTTCGGCCAACAGCCAGCTCTCACCACATGCTACCCAGTCTCATGCCTTTTTACTTTGAGTTCATTAACCAGTACTTACGCGCTAGGTAGAGTACTGCTAAGTTATTAAGAGAGGCCTTTGGCAAGTACAATTAGTTGAGATCTACCTTAAGTACAACAACAATGTTAAAATTAAATATTTTTGAATTTAATAAGATAAACCAATCCACGTTAAAGTTTTTTTTATTTTAAACTTTTACAGACAGAGAACAAAGAATCTAAATATCAACACGTTGAAACACCTACATCAGATTCAGTTAGCCAATCATATCACACATCACAAACAAAATTATCGGCATCGACAATATCGTCATCCTCATATAAAAGACCACTTAATAAACCAGTGGAAACTTATACAGATAGCAAAGACCATCTGCATTCATCTCATATTGAAACATACCAAGCTCTACAACAACAACAAAAAGAAAAATATCAGGAAAAACCGCAGAAATCATTGAAAACTGAACACTACAGTAGTTCATATAAACAAAAAGAACCAGTGGTCAGTTCAAGTCAACACTATACAAAATCAAATGCTTACAGTCAATCAAATAATGGCGGTAATAATAAAGGTATAAGTGAAGATGATAATAAGCACTATCACTATCATTATAAGAAAGGTAAATCTGATTATTCTGATAACAAAAAAAGTGAAAGTGTCTATAAAAAGTCATCATCCTCTGAAAATAAGCCAACGTCACCATCTATAACATTTGTTTCTGGAAATGAAAATAAATATAGTTCATCTAAATATAAACAGGATAAAACACCGAAAACTACAATAATTAGTGATGAAGCATTACGAAAGATTAAAGAGGAAATAGAAAAGAAAATACGTAGTGATTTAGAGAAAATGACTCAAAAAGTTAAAGAATCTGACAAATCGAAATATGGTGAAAATGAAAAGTCATCCTATTCGCAACCTTCTCGTTCAAATTCTGAAGGAGGAGAACGCGAAGAAAAAGAAAATGATAGACAGAATTATGATGAACGTAGAAGAGAAGAAGAATACAGTAGGTTTCATGGACGAGACTATGAAAGAAAAACACGACGTCCTAGAAATCACTACGAACGTAAGTTTGTGATATTATTAAGCTATTGTTTAACTTTGTTACATATCCTTCTAATATAGTACTTAACTGGCAATCCAGAAAAGACAACAGAGATTATTTAGTTGGTTACAGGAAATCATCATGTGCTGACATCGGTTAGAGAACCACTGGAAGACCTGGCAGTACTGGACAGCTGCTTTGTCCCATTCGGGACTGTCCATCAGTAATTACCCACCGGGGTACGATTATTTGATTTGAAAGAATTCTCTAATACTTGCTGACGATTAGAATAGATAAAAATGGATTTATAGTGTAGCCTTCAAAATTAAGTGATTCTGTCTGCTTATCATTTAGTCACAGAAGCTACTGAAATGAGTATTTAATGAAATACATGTATGCAACGTATTAACAGCAGTAAAGAAGAACATATTCCTTTTAACATTCCAGCCTGCTCTAATTTAGTCAAATCAGTGAAGAGCAGCAGGATATTCCATCATCACTGCTCAGAGACCACACTTTTAATCCCCCTTGTACTTTGAACGGGCATTCATACTTCTTTAACAGATGAATTACTTAGTCGAGGAGGTCTGAGTCGCTAAAGTGCGGACTGATGAAGAGTCCCAAAGTAGACTGACGAAACAGCTGTCCAGTAATCCCAGGTTTTCCAATGGTTCTCTAACCGATTTCAGCTCATGCTAACCAATCAATCAAATCTCTACAAACCAACACCTGAAAAGTTTTCATTTGTGCCAGACAGCTCTTTACAACATTTGTTGACTGGTAATCTAATAGATGCTTCATTCGGACTAATACTTGAAATATCACTTAGTCTTTACTTTATTGCAGTTCACAAAGACTAAAGAAAAGGTGATTTACATGCTCTTTCAACAATGAGCGGGTGTATTTACTTAATCTCCTTTCTAAAATATCCATATTGTGTGATGACTGTACATGGTTTTGTCATTTCTTAGTTCAACATGAAATACTAGAATTTCTTTTTTCCCACCTGACTGTGTCGAAATGAAGAGACTCCTCAACACTACAAATCACCGTTGTATTAAAAACAAGAAAGCCAACTAGCTGTTTCAACCAATACTATCTCTATCCACTCTAATATATTTGGTTCTTCTAGTGACTAGACCCACTGTCTATTAAAAGATGAGAATACTTTATAGCGGTCAGCATTTACTCTGTTTTTCAAACATGACTATTCAATATGGATGATACGTTTGGGTCTACCGGAATTTTACTTGAACACGCTGTAGGAATAGGGGAAATTCAATTACTAAAGACTGTAAACCTAAATTGACTGAAGTGATGAGTGCAAGTTTCACATATCCTAACCAAAATCCCACTCATTCAACAATATCAGATAAAATATGATTGAGTAATGAGAAAGCTAAGAGTGTCCCAAGGAAAAATAATGAAGAAAATGCTACTGAGTACTCCTATCTCTGATTTATTCAATTACTTGTCTGAAAAACATTAACTAGCAATATCACATATCGTTAAAAGAATATTTACGTTACTCGAAGCTAATAGTTATGTATTGAATTCGTGGAACATTTGAATTTGACTGTTTTACTGTAACACGATGGCTTATATAACGAACTAATCGTATTATTGAAAATAATTATTTGCAAAATATCTAGCTTTACTTCTCAACAATGACAAAAAATCTCTGTTATTACAGAATGTAACAGACCAGGCTAGAACTTTAAAAACTGTTCTTACGTTACTTAGGATTTTCCAAGGCTTCCACCTAGTCTTCATACAGCTTTCTACCAATCTAATCCCTAGGCTTTTCGTTAATCATATATATATATATTATATAACGGTGTAACGTTTAAAATTTCCTTGTCAAATATGTCAAATTCTCTTCGAACTGTTCTCATATGCACATTATGATCAGTATTCCTGTGTCACGACCATCCTGCACGAAATTAAATACCTATATTTAACTGAGTAATGCAAGTCGACATGTTTAAGGTCTGTAAACACTTTAGTTTCAAACAACGTTTATAGTTGAAGAGGCTGATAAAAATGGCAGTTTGATTTATCAATGTGGAACGCAATACAAATGTGAAGAAATCCGCTGCAAATTACGAGGAGACAATAGTCTAAAACCGTTGTTTCTTAGTATCCAGAAGGCACTAGACTAACAGTCTACATCTCCTCCTATGTGAATCAAACCAGTGCTTAAATACTTCATTAATTAGTGCAGCGTGGCCATCTGACCATCCTTAAACCTTTTCTTGTCTGGTTCCAATTTAGATAACATGGCTCACCTAGGTAGACAATTACTAAGCAGCAAACTTATTTAATTCAGCCAATAATCGATTAATACCATTTCCTAATACTTTTAGGAGACTAGGGACATTCAAACAACCCCTTCTGCAGTTTGAGGACATACGTACAAATTCCACACAGATGCAGGTTGGATAGTAGACGACTTCGGTTTTGTTATAAGCCAGATCAACTAATCCTCAATACTCTCTCAAAAGTTCCATTCATTCTTCCTAAGAATGTATCACACCTCTATCCTTCTAGAAGATTGTCTCACTTGCCATAGGTCTTTTATAACAGCTCGCCTTTCTGGAACTAAACAGTTGACAGATTTCGTCCATTATTAACGTCCTTCTTATTTCTCTCTCTTTCTTCATCTGTACTGTCCGCAGACACTGAGGAGACCTCTAATAAGTTTACGTTTTAAAATTTTTCATCCCTTGTCAAGCGCCGAATTGGTTGAAATCAGTCATTCTAATAATAACAGTAGCTGTATTATGCACAATATGTACAATTTTCAGAGTAGTTTATTTCATAATATTTACTTTTCATCCAGGAGTTTCAAGTAAAACAGCCATGTCTAGTATTTCGTGTGACGCAGTGATGTTAGATCTGAAGAACAAAATAATCCACTAAGGAATTTTTCCTTGGTTCTACAGAAATGCCCAACGATATGGGATATAACTGAATGGCTATAACAGCAAGAACTAAGGAAAATAAGATGCATTACCTCGGATGGAAATTCAGGTAACCCAGAGATTTAAGCAGGTAAAATCATTCAGTTCGGATTTAAATTCATAAAATCACTGTCATTTACTAAACTTTTAATACAGATTGTCAAACTCATATACCAATTTTTCTACGGCAAACTTTATAGTACCAGGATTCATTGGGATAAATATTGCTGTTATACTCAGATAAAGACTTATTTCGCCCCCGCCACACACTCCTCCAAGTACGGGAAATTCAGAAAAGCCAAGGCTTTGTGACTGCTTGTTTCTGTTCAGTCTCAGTTACAACTACCTACGGTATGATACTTGTTTGGGTTTTACTCAGGTGTTCTAGAAAGCACAGTAATCTCTTATATATAACTGATGGCTAGTTAGTCTCCTTTCATCCATTTTGTGGCTTGATACCTGATGTCATCAGATAGGGTTATGGTTCTCCATGTGTTTTATCTAGTGTTGGTCAGGAACAGTTATCGCTTGAGGCTGTTTAGTGATGGAAGTTATGGAGTTTCCTTCTTACAAAAAACCGTAAGGCAGGTAGGAAGTTAATATTCATGTGGCTGACTTTTTCTAACTCCTTCCAATTTGAAATGGTGGGCAACGTGGCTGGCCTTTTGACTATATGTAGGAAGCCTCTTACACCCTCATCCTCCAGCTGCACGACTTTGACCTAATGGACTGAGCAACCTACCGTGTGATGATTACTGCTTTTAACCTAACTCTTGTCCAACAAGCCTTTTCCGTATACAGTAACCTATACAAACATTTGTTTTAACCAGTATACCTCAAATGTCACTGCAATATGCAAACCAGTCCATCATATTAATGCTAGCAGCTACTAATTTTCCCTCAACACTGCAAAACTGGAAGATTCATTTTTGATAACTACCTTTTTGATTGATGAAGCTGTACTCTTTTCGAATATCCAGCTGTATGTTTGAAAATTCATCTATCTTAATAAGTGTACGAACCACCTTATGATCTGTCAAAAAGAATTCATGCACAAATAACTTCTGATTTTCGAATAATCTATTTCCTTTTGAGTTAAATTAATAAATTCATAACAGATGCAACTAAAAGTATCATCCACTAGATCTAACCTACAAGATTACGTTAATTCAGGCAGAAAGTTTCACTAATCTTGAATATAAGGCTCAATCTAGATACTCTTTTTAATCCAACATAATAGTTGTAAATAGTTCCAACATATTAAAATGCTTTTAATATAATATATCAAATCATGAGGAATATAATTTTCCAATATTTCACATTTCTACAGATTCAGGTGAGTTGATCAACATAGATTTACGTGTAAAACGGAGCAATATTATACTACCTATGTGATTTTGTGGATCCATACCATACCTTTATCAATAAACATTTCCTAGATGATATTTCCTTGTTTTTTTTCAGGGATTCTGATCACGATCGACACGACGAAAGAAACAGACGTTACGAACCTGAAGAAAATGAATTCCGATCAGATAGACGTGAACCACGATATTCACCGACAGACAGAGATATCCCGCCATATCGTCGTCATTCTCATCACCAGCCTAATCCACCACATCATCCATTACCACGACAACATTATCCACATACTTCTTCTCGTGAAGATGAAAGACCTAGTCGTGAAAGTGATCATGTATATCGTGTTCATGGAGAAGAGTCTTCAGATCATTCACCTTATGAAAAACATAATGATGAAACTGAACAGAAACCAGAAAAACGAAATAATTACGAACAGAGGCCAAGAAGCATAGTTCAAGGTGTATCATTTTCGGAAAATGCTACAGCCCTACCAGCCGCACCAGCCAGCTATGATTATACGACAAAAATTTTGGAGTCCATTTCCATCCCAATGATTATTAACGTAGATGACGCACTAAATAATGAATGTCCTACATTTTCTTGTACAACAAATTGTACAGGTAACTTATACAAGCTTGATACCAGCACAGGTTGTCCGAGATGCGAATGCTGCTCACAGGCTGTATGCCAAAAACAATGCGAAAACGGCTATGCTGCTGATCAAGATGGCTGTCCTACATGTCAGTGTCTGGGATCTTACAATTAAAGCAATTCATTCCATACTGTTATTAACTTTGTTGAATAATAAACCATACAGAAATTAAATAGCTGAATCTTCTACATATTTCTGACTGACATTCTAATATTCATAAAAGAGATTACATATGAGTTCTTCAGTCCAGCAATTGTGAGTAGTAGATGAAATATTCCCAAAATACAATTGCAGTAGAACTTTTAGAAAGTAGGAGGAGAAATGAATACTGACCGCTTATCATTTAAAAGTGAAGCTAACAGCCAATGACTTGCGTTATGCATAATAACCTGAAATTGACATTTGACTTTACTCAGACGCTCATGCTAGAATTTCAACAATAGTTTTCATATCTTAGTTTCAAATTAATCCAGGTCTTTTAACTAGAACAAATTAAGATCATACTCATTTCAGAAATTATGTTGCATTTTATTTGGAAAATTAAACTAGTCAAAGAACAGTGTACTATTTATTAGAATTCTCAAATAAGAACATCTGATTGTGTTATAAAAACTTATGCAGAGGAACTGCAAAATAGGATAGATTATGCCTGACTCTAATTGTTAAAGCAGTTGTCTTGGCAGGCTTTGCCGCCACTGTTTTCATAATACCATACCATACTACTGGTTGATTAACATAAGTAGTTGGATACTATTTTTACAAAAACCATTAAGTATTATGATCTGAATAGTTTCGGCTTCTAAATAAACTGTGGTGAAATTTTACCTCGAACTGTATGAAGTGGAAATCATGAATTACTATGAGAATTGAGAATGTGAGTCATCAGTTTCACTTTTTGCGTGATTTAAAGATAGCGTTAATGCAGTTGTAGAAAGCAAGTATTCATAGAACTATATAAACAACATTCTGATAATGAAAAAGCTTTGTATACATATCGGCAAAATGTTTGTGGTTAAACAAAGTGAAATAGAATACAGAAAAGGTAAGGGGACGGCTCACCGCAGACTTTGCTAAGTGATCAATAGTTGTGCGATTAAATGGCTTTGTCATGTCAACAATTAGATCTAAATAAAGCAATAACAACAGTAGTTTGTGCAGAATAACATGGTACCATCATTTATTTCGTTGGCTTCTCATCAGCACAGCTGCTTAGAGCCTAAATAAATTGTGAGGTTTATGTACAGAAACGTTCCAAAGTACTTGCAAATTTGTCATGGTGTCAGTTGACAGAACGTTACACAATTAGTGAACAGTGCTCAGAAAATTGCGCTAATATAGCTTTTACACAGGCAGTTCAAGTTTAAACAAAATAAATGTATGCATACAATGGTAAAGGAGTTACGAAATAAAGACGGTAGATGTGTAACATGATGAGTGACTAATGAATTAGCTAATAATGTACTGAGTTGAACTCTAATCATAGAAATAAGAGACAAACAAAATTACAGATTATAAAAGTGGGTTAGGTTAAAGACGAAGATTACGTAATCAGATGAGAGAATAAAAACATCCAGTTACCAGGGCAAGGAAAGACTAATAACTGCTTCTTTGTAAACACATAAATCTGGTTTCAAGCGTTTGATAGAAATTGCTTCGGCAAACTTGAGGAGAATGGAACTCCTTTGTCTACTGATAATTTTAAAAGATTTCGCGATTTCTACCTCATGGCCCGTGTCGAGATGTCTAGTAATAGCGCTACTATAAGAGTTTGTTCCCTTGAGACGTAGGTTTTTCGGCACATGTTCAGAAAATCGGAGGTGTGTCCTTCTTTCTGTTCTACCTATGTAACTGCTCCCGCAGATACACGTAAATTTGTATATACAGTTGGAGTTAAGATGAGAAGGGTATCTATCGAGTTTTGACTGCACCAAATAGCATGTTGTTCGAGGGACGGGAACCAACCTAGCTGCATGATAGGCTCTGGCTAGTGACATTCTCAGACTTCTGTTGACCATTTCTGCAATGTCTTCACCTTTAAAATCTAGTTGAATGAAGATAGTCTTATTTTCAACTGTGATTTGTTTGGTATTTGAGCCTTCAAATCTTCCATATTTGTTAAGGAATCTTCTAAGATAACCGTTGTTTTTCAGCACCTTTTCGAGAATCGTAAATTCTTCCTGTAGTTTCTCTGCAGTGCATATTCCCCTCGCTTTGTAGTACAAAGTCTTGACTGGTGTTCGTTTATAGCTATTTGGACAAAAACTATTAAAATGTAAGTATTGTCCATTCCATGTCAGCTTTCGGTGAATTGACCTCTGGAGACTACCATCTTCTAGGCGTTGCGTGCTGATGTCAAGGAAATGAAACTTTCCATCATTTTCATGTTCCATAGTAAATACAATATTTGTACGTGCGTTGTTGAATAGTCTGAGTAGGCAGGAGTCATGACTTTCGTCGTTGCGTACAACAAATGCATCATCGATATATCAACGAAAGGAAGTTGTTTGATCAGCTGCATGCTTCAACTTTGTTTTCTCAAGGTTTGACATGAAGATATCTGCTAAAGCAGGGCTACGTGGATTGCCCGTAGCTACACAGTCTATTTGTTGGTAAAGAGTAATGTCAAACTGGAATTGTACATCCATGGTACACATTAGCAGTAGACGTTTGAATTCTGACTCTGGTAATGGGAGAAGATCAGACTGTTGACAAGTTATCTCACTGATTTCATTGATTGGGATCATTGTGAACGAGAAGGTTACATCAAACGAAGCCATGAACTTATTTGAAACGTTCATGTGATTCACATTATCGGCAAAATGAAATGAGTCTTTTATGGTATGCATGTCTAGCCGTAGGCGAATGGGTTCCATCTTCTCCGCAAGTCAACGGGCAACCTTATGTTGGGGAGAGTTGATCATCGAAAGTATAGGTCTCAGAGGGACTTCTTTCTTGTGTGTCTTGGGAAGGCCATACATATATGGCAAGCAGGATCCTAGGCGTTTCAATTCACTGTACGTGTTGTCAATCAATTTCTTCTTTAGAAGATCTCTCAGTACGTTTGTGATGCGTTTTTCAGTTGCATCTGTGTGGCGATTGACAATTTCTATCTCTGTATTGTTTAAATACTTACTGTTGATTGTTAATATGTTTCTTATATGAATGGCATAATAATTCCGCTAAATACAAATTCCTGAGTTCTGCCCTCTCTGTGTTTTGGTTGGATTCTTGTAATTCGGTCATCTCGAAATACTAATACTACAATTGCAATAAATTACTACAAATTGGCGTCGCGATGGAACTAAATAACCTTGGAAAATTTCCTATAAATGCTACTCCGCGGGAGATTGCTGATTATTTGGAATGCTTCGATGCGTGGTGCATTTCAAAGAATGTTCGGGATGACAAAATACCAGCACATTTCATCACTGCTATTGGGCTAGATGCGTATAGCCTAGTAAAGACTCTGTCGTTTCCAGATCAACCTATTTCTCTGTCATTTGTCAAGATTCGTGTACTTCTGACAAATCACTTTCATGTAACTACATTTGAGACCAGAGAGAGGGCTCAATTCAATAAACTGGTTCGTGCTCCCAACCAGAAGATTCGAGACTTTATTCTGCAACTCCAAATACAAGCTTCAAAGTGTAACTTTGGAGATCAGCTGCATACACAACTGCATGATCGTCTAATTGCTGGAATCAATATTCCTAAGTTAGAGAAAGAGTTAATTCAGATTCCTTCTTGTACCTTTCAAACTGCTAAAGATTTATGTATTACATATGAAGATGTCAATAATGAATACTCTGCTCCCACTACGTCAGTATCTGATGTCATTCTTTCTAAAGTCGAAAATACAAGTGGTAATGGAAAGCAATCCAAACTGCTGTCCACAGGTAATAGAATGCAGCGAGAGATCAAAAACATTAAACCGTGTTTTTCCTGTGGAAAGTTACATCTACGAAGCACTTGCCGTTTTCGGGGTGCTAAGTGTCACAAATGTGGTAAAGTTGGACACATCAAGACTGTTTGCAGAAGTTCCAATACTTGTGCTGCTCAACATTCTTATAATTCTCCCAATCTGTCTAGTAAAATGGAGTCAATATGTCTTTCAACTTTTCAAAATACTCAAGCTAATCCAATGAAAACCTCCACTACAAGTTCAGCAACTCAAGCGTCAACTGTTTTCAAAAATGAGGTAGCTGAGTTACAATGCGAACTGTCGAAAACACGGAAAAAACTGAATGAGATGAGAGAGCAACTGATTAAAATTGAGGAATTACTGCATATGCATAGACTGAGTTTGTTGAATGCAGAGCATACAAGTACCCGTGAAAGTCCTGCAAAACTTTTCAAATCTCGAATTCTCAAAAAGCATCTGATGTCCACGACTTCTAATGTACATTATTACAAAGGTAATGACTATAGACCTTCTGTTAGAATTGTACTACAAAAAATGGGAAATCGAGTGGTGAAGATATTAGACATCAAAGATCACTCATTTCATAACAGACACCTGGAAGAAGTGACAATAAATGAATTAGATAATTCAGAAATAGGTCCAGATAATACTGATGAAAATAATATCACAGAATCGGTTAAAAGGTCGCAGCTACTTGCAAGCAAACCGAGACATCGTTATAAATACGCAAGGAGATATTCGACGTGTGGCGGATGTGGCGATTGACAATTTCTATCTCTGTATTGTTTAAATACTTACTGTTGATTGTTAATATGTTTCTTATATGAATGGCATAATAATTCCGCTAAATACAAATTCCTGAGTTCTGCCCTCTCTGTGTTTTGTTTGGATTCTTGTAATTCGGTCATCCTGAAATACTAATATTACGATTACAATAAATTACTACAATCTGTCTTGTCTTTTTTGCAGTCGTCGAATTTAAACCTCAGCGGGTCATTCAGCACAGTTTTTATCCTTGCGATATAGTCACCTTTATCCATCAGTACCACTCCTGAGCCCTTATCAGTTCGCAGTATGACGATTTTGTCATTATCTCTGAGAACTTTCAATGCCTTTTGATGGTCTTCAGGGAGGAATTTGGAATATGACGTTGGTGAAATGAGGTATTAATTTGCAACATCGACCAGCTGAG